TTCTGGTCCGCTTGCTCCCTTTCTCCATCCTCGCTTGGATCTGGCAGGACAGGGAGGGGCGCGGAGACGAGGTTTGGTTTTACCTGAAATGAAGGTGCTTAGAATACTCCCAGCTCACACTTCAGCAATTCTTTGTACGGTTTTGAGGGATATCGAGGTTGGATTTTTAACCCACACTATTGAAATTTCAATACTATATCCTTTCTAAATGAGCTTCCAGAATTTTCTTTTGACTAAAATAAGACTCAATTTCTTGTTCCAAAAGTGTCAACCTTAATGTGACACTTTTGTCCCCAATGGTACCAACTGGTCTCCATATTGGCTATTATTTTTTTCTTAGAGTTTTTTTGTTTTTTAAAGATTTTTATTTATGCATACAGAAATGGGGTACAGGCCAGAGTTGCAGGGGCGGCTAAAGGATTCACCAGAGAAAGAGTGGGGAGCAGAACAGGCAGATCGATGAAGTACACTGCTGAGGGGAGCAGCGGGTTATCAGGAGAGGTCTGCTGCACCTTAAGGGTCACCTCCGGGACCAGGAATTGAACTCATGCTGAAGCATCTGCGTTAACACCCTGTGCCACCAGGGAAGGTTTTTCTTAGAGATTTGTAAAATAAAATTGATAGAATGATCTATTATATCTAACTAAAATTCTAATAATAATGAGGAAAAATAGAATATTGAAAGACAGCCAGAATCTCAAACAATGTGTTTGATGACTAAAATACAGAACAAAATTAAACTGTGACATGTTTCATACTTCAGGATAGTTTCAGAGGTCACATTGGAAATTAAACATGTTCTTGGAGTGAAAAAAACAATTAGGGGCCATCGTAGAACGGAAGGAGAGTTGACCCCAGAATGATTGGCCTGTATGTGTGTGTTATGCCATTTATGAAAGAAATTGAAAAACTTAAGAAACTGAGGTTAGAAGGAAAGAGTTAATACTATTTATCTCTGAATTATCTTGTCTCCCAGCCTCCTATGTAGATGACAGAAAATAAGCCACTCACAAATTACTTCACACTTGTAGGGGGAACACATCAGTGTTATGACTTGCTTAATAACTGGAATCATGTTTGTAATACTCAGAATATTTGAGTTGTTCTGAACAACTCAGTTAATCCAGTTGTGTATAACAAAGCAAAAGTGATCATCCTTAATTATACAACAAAAGAACAGTTTTTGCTCCAAGGAAATAAATACCACTTCTCTGTGAAGTTCACTAAAATTCTTTTTTATTTAAATATTTATTTATTTATGCATACAGAACTGGGGTACAGGCCAGATGTGCAGGGGTTAGACGATTCACCAGAGACAGAGTGGGAAGCAGAACAGGCAGATCGATGAAGTACACTGCTGAGAGGAGCAGCATGTGGGTCAAAAGATGTCTGCCATGCCAAGTGGGTCACCTCCCTGGCTGGGGATCGAAACTGATGCAGTGGCTGCGTATACCTTCATAGTGCTGTGCTTTAACCCGTTGCGACACCAGGGAGGGCCCTTCTCTAAAATTCACTATTATTTTATTCACTAAAATAAACACCAGGCATTGTTCAAACATACCACTGCCTTTGGCAATGGCACATTAATAAATAAAACTAGTGGGCCCTCCCTGGTGATGCAGCGGGTTAAAGCACTGCACTGAGAAGCTAAAGCCACTTCCGCATGAGTTCGATTCCTGCCTGCCACTGGAGGTGACCACATGGCATGGCAGACCTCTCCTGACCTGCCCACTGCTCCCCTCAGCAGTGTACTTTGTAGATCTGCCTGTTCTGTTTCCCCACTGTCTCTGGTGAAGCCTCTCACCACCCCTGAGCCTCTGGCCTGTACCCCAGTTCTGTATGCACAAATAAATAAATCTTAAAAAAAAAAATAAATAAAAATAAAACTAGTGCCAAACATCAGAAATGGTTCTCAAAATGTATTATTTCCTCAAAAGGCATTTTTGTCATTGTAGACTAATAATCATATTTTGAGCCTTCTTCCAAATACTTCTATGTCTCCCCCAAAAGGATATACTTATAAAACAAATGATTATCCAATAAAAGAAAAGAAATACAACTCCCTCTTTCAAGAATGTCCATCAAGGGCCTCCTCCCCCTCCCACCCAGGCTAGTAGCCACCTATATCAACCCAACCCTATCTTCCCAAAGAAAAAGTAAAACAGTAAGAGGCACCACTCTGTCGCATATTTTATTCATATGTCAACAAATGAATGTTAACATCTACTAAGCATCAGACCACATACTTCATATTTGCAATTCAGACATCAGGGAAAGAGAGCTCAGACTCTTTAACTCTACAATCTAGTAAGAGATAGCAAAGAATGTTCCATCTTCTGAGAGAAGTACCACAGTGACTCATTTTTCCGGAGGGCAGAGAACCTTTTCCTGAGGGTAGCCCTTGAGCCTAGGTGAAAGGTGAATAGCAGTATCTGCTGAGAGAGGACAAAGGTGCATTCAGACAGCATTTTCTGGGCAGAGGGAGCAATTGGATACCAGGAAGAAGAAATAATTTGGTCTACTAAGGAAAATACAGGCTCTGTAGGATCAGTAGGGTTTGAGAAGAGGGGAGCTGATTTTCAGCGTATAATTTCTGTGGTGTAACTACCATAACAGATTTCAAGCAGCAGACATATCGAACAGTGTGACTTGACTGGCCTTGAGAGCCAAATTAGTGTTTGGTGTGAATTATGGACAGTAATATGAAGGATCGAGCTTAGACTAGCTTGCAAGAGGCAACTGTTACATTTTCAGCAATTTTGTGAGCTGTTTGATATGTCTGCTGCTTGAAATCTGTTATGGTATTTACACCACAGAAATCATACACTGAAAATCAGCTCCCCTCTTCTCAAGCCCTACTGAACCTACAGAGTTGAGACCTTCTGAAATCTTTTTACAAAGCCCCACTCTGCTTGTAACATAAGAATGACATTATGAAAACTCTGTTTATGGTTAATCTACAAAAATTGCAAAAGATGAGTTAGAACAAGGAAAGCTGAGAAATCAGTTGGAAGGTCACTGCTTACAAGTGATAAGGGCTTGACAAAAATGAATGATAAGAAAAAGACTTTAGGGGCCCTATAAAGGTAGATCGAATTGAATAGTAGATATGGGGTTTGTAGAGGCAGAAGTGGAAATGCAGACAGTTAAAAGGCAAACAATGACAAATAAAAACATTTTAAAATGAAGACATAACAAATAATCCCTGTTAACTGCTAGATCTCTCTTGTCTTTCATTTTCAGCCTTCTTAATACATGTCTACATCCATTGCCTGCATTTTCTCACCGGAGTTCCTTCTGTAATATAACTGATATTATTGATGTGAGTACTGAAATGTCTTCTTTAGTCTTGCAGGCTAGTACTTGTGTTATCTAGAGATCACAACTCCTATACTAACTTTAAAATTAAAGTATTTCTGATGGAATAAATTGAATTTATAAATACTTTCTTAAGGCTGCTATTCCCATCATTACGTAAGATTGAAGTTATATGTGCAAGTGCTATACTACAGGGACAATGTAAAGACTGGTATTTAAAAAAAGATCTTTGAATTCCATTGAAAGATGATTACACATATGAAAACAACTATAAGGTCTATTTACAAGAAGTCATTTGTGATATTATTATATGCTAATAATGATATATTCCAAATGAGCAAACCATTCTCCTAATCTGAAGTTCCCTAGACATTTTATAGACATGAAATTCTCTGCATTTCATGAATGAGGCACAAAAGAATTACTTACTGTGACCTTTATCTTTTTATATTTTATTTGAACACACTCAAAGTTTGTTTTGTAAATGTGGTGTAAAGGGTTAACTGAGCAAGCTCAGGTTACTCAAGCCCTGCACATTCCAAAGAAAGGCCAGCTTCAGGAGGACTGGCCCTTGACTGGCCCTTGACTGGCCCTGGGAAATAACCTTTGAACACTTGGAAGATCCTGCATGATAAGAGTGGTTTAGTTTACTAAGGCCTTGTGCCACACCACATTAGTTTGACAGAGACAGTTTATGCTATCAGCATAACTTATAGTGAATGTCTGTTTTTGTAAGCCAGAGACCCTGAGTCATGGTATCATTTAGATCACTCTAGAGTCAGGGATTGAGTGGTTAAGGTTAGGCACATGGGCAGTGCATGCCTGCAGGACGAACCCTAGTAAAAACCCTGGACTCCAAGGACTGGGGGTGTTCCCCTGGCAATACTTTGCCTGTGCTATATCTGTCTTCAGGCTTTGACCACTTGCCTTTTCTTTTTGCTGAATTTCACACGCTAACAAACTGTAACTATGAGTCTGTCAACTTTTCTGACTTCTTCAGTTCCTTCTAGTGATTAATCTGGGCACAGGATGGTCTTGAGGATTTCTGAAACAATAGGAATCAAATTTTTTCTATGTAGATAACAATATGAGCACATTTATTCATCAATACTTTTTTGTAATGTATTGTCTAAAATGTCCATGCTAATACCACCCTATTGACATATTAATTACTATAACTTTGTAATAAATCTTGATAAACAATGAGGCCTGCCTTTCTACTATCTTCTTTTTCTTGGGCCTTTATTCAGCCATCTAAAATTTTGGATTAAATTTCAAATTTAACAGTCCCAGGAAAAAGTATAAGGGCTTCAAAATTACACAATTTGGAAAGGATAGTTCTTCAAGAAGTCAGTCTTCCTATTCATGAACAGAATTGCGATAATAACCAAAAACTGGAGCCAAACCAAATCTTCAGCAATGGTAGAATGTGGAAAGAAAGGAGCATGTCATAGAAGGGTGCCATCCACACAACTCCATTTTAATCAAAGCCATTTAAGCTGTATCATTTAAGGATAGTTCCATATGAGATCAAATTATAAAAATGAACAAGTTTGTTGGTGTTCCAAAAGCTAAAGTAATGAAAATAAATAGTGCTATCTACCTTTTACTACATTAAATCAGTACTTCATTTGTACAAATTTTGTACAATATTTATATGTGTAAATCACACAACCAAGAACCACAGTTCTACAACTTTGTATTTGCCATACATACAATATTAGGTATGAAATCACATGCTGATAAACATTAAACCTAATTTTAAACAACCAAATAATTTAAAGTCAAGTTGCCACTTTAACAAAAGGTTGTGAGTTCTAAGTCTTTATGAATTTAGATGAGTTAAAATACAAAAAAATAAGAAAAGTGAAACTGAGTAAGACAGCAAAAGATTTAGTTTCCTACAGCAGTAACAGAAAACAGGCTTCCTTCTTCATGCTTTTATTAAATAATTGCTCTTATGACAAGTACACTGACAGCACAAAGGTGTTTTAAGCAACTACTATTAAACTGTCTTCTTTCACAAATCTTAATAAATACGTGACAGACCTATATAACTAAGATATATGAATTGTTTTAATAGACAGTAATCTTTTGAATTGCACATTTTCTCTAGGTTATAATAAAAATAAAGTGAGTGTACAATTTATCTTTTTATATACTTATATAAATACAAACATAACTGCCAAGAAGTAAAATACTGCCACATAAAAGCCCTAGATGAGGAAATACCTTGACTAAATATTTTTTTCAGTGAATCTCAGAAATTTTTAAGCGGAAGTACTTATTCATAAGATGAAGAAAATTTAAATTTAAAAACTCAAATGAATAACCATGTTTTAAGCAAAAATTTTTTTAACACAGAAAATATTAGTGGCATATGATTTTTTTTAAGGTAACAAAACCATTCACGCTAGTTCGGCCAAGCTAATATTCTTCATAGAATTATGATGAATTTTAATTATGAATACTTATGAGGTAGCTGAAATATGAAAATACAAAGTCACAGAAGGTACTAAGGTCATATATAGCAGTTCAATGCCAACAAAATGGTTAAGTGCAAAAAATTTTATGCTAAAAAAGGTTTGTGTGAAACTCTGAGAACCTTCATAAATAAGTTTTTATAGTCATTATACAACATTAGAAAGAAATCACTTTCCTATCCCATTCTTAATTTATGTTAAAATGATCTGTTTTTTAATTGATACATAATGCAGTAAAATTCTCATGATTATCAAACTGGTATCATAAATAACTTACTATATATTCCATATTCTTCTAAGGAGAACTTCATCAGAGGAGGGATTATTGCACTTTTCTTTCCTTAAATGATTTATAAACTTAAAATGAGGAAAAATAGATTCATTGACTATAAAATAAAAAGTTTCAATTAAAACGAATGATGAAATGGTTGATATTCATTTAAAAAATGTATCAATGGTATTTTGGGGATTATTGGGTTTTATTTTCTTTGATGCTGAGTTCTTTGTCATCAATCCTGACCTGGAATAAAAAATGAACACACAATTAAAATGCAGAAGGATATTACAAAAGTAATTTTGCAAATAACTGGTCTTTAAAATTTCATGCAATATAAGAGTAATGTTGGGCCCTCCCTGGTGGCGCAGCGGGTTAAAGCACAGCACTGAGAATCTAAAGCCGTTTCCACATGAGTTCGATTCCCGCCTGCCCCGGAGGTGACCACATGGTGCGGCAGACCTCTCCTGACCCGCCCGCTGCTCCCCTCAGCAGTGTACTTCGTCGATCTGCCTGTTCTGCTCCCCACTCTGTCTCTGGTGAAGCCTCTCACCGCCCCTGAGCCTCTGGCCTGTACCCCAGTTCTGTATGCACAAATAAATAAATCTTTAAAAAAAAAAAAAAAGAGTAATGTTAACAAATTCTAAAACTCAGACTTCAAATTTTGATCTTTACAGTTAGCTTTATTAAAGTTCAAATTAGCAATACCTTTTTGTCTTTGTTACAGTCTTCTGGATTCTGCCTGAGTTGCCTTTAAAGGGAAGAAATGCCAAGAAATTCTATGATGAATAGTATGAAATAATTAAAAGGCTATATAAAAATAAGTTAAGACCAACTAAAGATAGTAAAAACGTGCTGGTACTACAAAATTCATACTTATATATACCAGAAACTAAGTTTATAGCATACTTTTTTTTTTTTTTTTTTTTTTTACTTTCTTTATTCTCTTACTTATCAGTATTATACTTTATTTCTGAAATTTGGCTACAGTCAGAATACCAAAAAAACAAACAAGCAAAAAACAAAAGACAATGGCTATGTGATTATCATTATTATACCACTGTCCCTTGGCAAATAATCCTTGGAACATTTCTTTTTCAATTGGCTCATTCAGGTCCCTAAACCTTTATGTTCATTTTATGTTAGATGAATCTCAAACCAAAGACCAAAGTTTTCCCCAAATTTAAAACATAATGACTTCAGTTAATTCTAACCTCTGGTACAGTCACTAACATTTTCCTAAATGGCAGCAGCATATACAAACTCTCCCTTTAATAGTATTCAGATTTAACAACAATCTCAATTTTAATAAGACATTCCTAGAAAATCAAGAAAATTTACAAACTCACCAGTACTTTTGGTGCTTCCTCTGGGTTGGTTAACTGGATTATCTTTATCCTTTTTCAGTTCCTGGATAATGCCTCTATTCAAACAAACATCCACATGCACGTTGAACAGGGCAAGATCTGAAGTCTTTTGTTCTACGTTACAAACAGGACAAACTAGAGCTTGGTTTGTCATCATTTCAGGTAAGTAAGTTTGCAGGGGTGCTTGTTGATTTAATGACCCCACATCTTCATTTTTCATTGAAACGGTACAAGAATTCTGATGACAATGATCAATATTAAGCCATTTGTTTGAAAGACCAGAACATTCCTCTATGCTGTGTTTATTACTTAAAGTATCCACACTTTCTGCTTCAGATGGGTCACTTATAGTTTCTACCAAATCTCTACCACCTACTGAAGTGACTTCTATGTTTTTCTGATGGGTTTCATAATCTTGCTTCTCATAAAGCAAACTAGGATGATGTACATTTTCTTTCTTGTTAACTTCTGTGGAGGAAGCATGTAAATATGAGACTACTGTAGAGCTTTCACTGATTGAAGATTCATTAAGACATGCATCCACATGTCTATTAAAGGCTTCCAGACTGATGCTTCTTTGTTCCTTAAAGCAAATTGGACAGGTAAATACCTGACCATTATCTAAATTTTCTGATGTTTCTAAGTTCTCATTCATCTTCTTTAAAGTTTGGAATGATTGTGATGTCTGTAAACTTTGCTTATCAACAGTGTCACATTTAAATTGGTCTTTGTGGTTCCATTTCCTTTCTGATCGTTTTTTATCAAAGAAACTCTTCTTAGGAGATATTTCCAGAGGTTTCAGAAACTGATCTTTGTCAGTTTTATTTAGTATGCACCCAGTGGCTGCGGGCGTTTGGTTTCCAGCCTGTAGGAAGCCAATAATGCTCCTTTGTTGGTGTTTCTTGTCTTCTTCATTGGGAAACCCAGATAGTCTCACACCTAATTAAATCAACCACGATTAATCAATTTCAAATTCAAACCAATTTACTCATAAAGCATGAAAACATTTGCATCATTCTGTTGTGACACATATAAAAAATACTAGAGAAAGATAATAATGCTGTAAACGTTCCCAATTAAAGAATGCTTTTCCAAAGTTGGTATTTTGAGTAAAAATTTTCTTCATAAATTGTGCATCACTAAATAGTAATTACTGCTTCACAGCCTTTTGGTTAAGATCAAGTGTGAATATTAAGTATCTCCTGAAGTTGGTATGATTATATAGGTTTTTCAATTATCATCTGCTATGTGATATATACCAAGTAACTAATTGGGGTTAACCACACAAATTCTTCAGCCCTTTTCTCCCCCCAACAGACTATTTTTCAGAGGTTCACAACAAAACTGAACCCAAATTAGAGTTCCCATGGAGCCTAGGCTCTATGCATTCACGGTTGCCTCCACTATGAACATCCTGCATGAGAGTCCTGCATTTGTTACAACTGATGACCCACTAGTCTTTTCAGTATCTCCACAATTTTTATCTTTTCCAGAATGTCACACAGTTGGATTCATACACTATATAGTCTTTAAGATTGGCTTCTTTCACTTAATAATATGTATTTAAGTTTCTTTCATGTCTTGATAGCTCATTTCTTCTATTCACTGAATAACATTCCATTGTCTGGATATACCATCCACCTATTACTGAAGGACAACTTGATTGCTTCCAAGTTTATGCAGTCATGAACAAAAGTGTTAATTAGTTCTCTTAATTAACAAACTTTATTCAATCAATCTCAGCATGTGCTATCTTTCCATATCTGAAGTACAGCTAAAGACCCAATGTAGTTGTAAACTGGCATTTGAAATTCTCATCCATATATATTCTCTTATCCAGATCGCTTTGGAAATATGGTTTGTTTGTTTACCATGTGGAGGGGATAGAGATGTAGTTTTGTACCACCCAATCCCTTATCTGTAGTTCTAACCCCACCCCCAATCTAAAAATATAGGCAACAAGTGGTAATTAATGATTGAATTGAAGTGAGGCTATTTAAGAGCTGAACTCAGTGTGAAATTTTTTTTGTGGTGCCTTAGATCCCAAAGGAATATAACGTAATACACACTAAATAGACTTTCACCAAAATGAAAAGTCTAAAATTTGAACTATACCTAGCTCCAATCATTTCAGTCAGTAGTAAGGAAAAGAACAAGTTTAATTGGTTTTTACTAGAATTAAATGAATTATTATGGCTTCATATACATCAGGTCATAAGAATTAAGAAAAATGTAAACAGCATACACATTCCTATACAGGTTTAAGAAATAAAAATGAAGGTGAGGTTATTTCCAGAGCTTATTCTTTGGAGTTTGCAGATTTAAGGAAAAGCAAAAGAAAAAGTCATACCCATCAGTCTCAACCTCAAGGGATATGGAGAATCAGCATCAATTTCTGTTCTTAACAATTCTTTAGCAATAGCAAATATTTCTTCTGCAGTAGAAACAACAGATGAAACTGTAGATGCACGAGTTTTCACTTCAAAGTTCACATTCTTCAGCTTAATAGTAACAGTTCTACCCTACAACAAATGGAAATTATGTATAGCTTTTTAACTTCTGGAAATAAGTTATTTAACAGGCTAGAAACTTTAGGAAGTTCTCTTATATATATAAATATGGAAGCATACTCAATCATTTATAAGATATGGTAATGAAAATTATCATAAAGGGGGATTACAACTGAGATAAAAATGTACAAAATAAAGAATTATGGGAAAAATGTATTTATAAAATAAAATTAAAACAAAGGAAAATTGTCATAAAGAATAACTGAAATCCATAAGTAATCTAAAAACCCATTTGGCCAATAATCATTATTCCCCTTCCAAATGAATTTTTATATAAGACATTTATAAAATAGACAAAGTTAACTGATTGGTTTTCTTTTTACTGAATCTCCTTTAGAGATCAATTCAGTACCTAAAAAGAAAGAAAAAAAAATCTTTCTAAAAAGGCATCATTGAAAAGGCCTTGTAAGTAGGTCATATTTATTGTGTTCCTATTATGTGCCAAATAGTATGTTAAACAATTTACATGTAAACTCCTTATATTCATTATTTAGTGGGTACATAGTCTCAGTTTGAAATAATGAAAAAGTTCTGGAGATCAACTGTTCTTCAATATAAATATACTCAGTGCCACTGAAATGTATACTTAAGAAAAGTTAAACTTTTATATTAAGGATAGTCTACAACCTTCTGGAGATGACAACAATGGGTTAGAGTCATATTCAAGGAACAGAGTATGGAATAGGAAAAATAGTAACTTCACAAGTGAGAAGCATAATAAACACTACCTTCACCAAATGATAAAAGTTCAACGTTACATATAATGCCACGTGGCTATCATATAGTCTGATGGAATGTGATGAAAAGGACACTTTACCTCTTGGTATTCTTTCTAAATACTCATAAGCCTTGTCTAATCATGAGAAAACCATCAGACAAACCCAGGTTAGGTGATATTCTCTAGGATATCTAGCTGGTACTCCTCAGATTCTCAAGGACATGAAAAACAAGGAAATACTGAGATAATGTCACAAAATGGAGGAGATATGAATAAGACATAACAATTAATGCATTATGGCTCCCTGGACTGAATTCTGGAACAAACATAGGGCATTACTTAGCAAAACTGATAGAACCCAACAGACTAGAGTTTGGTTAACAGCAATATGCCAATGGCAGTTTCTTAGTTTTGACAAACTATGCTAATATAAGATTAATAATGAGGGAAACTCATATAATAATGAGGCAAGATATTAATATTATTATTATTATTAATGACTGTTATCTTTGTAATTTTTCTGTAAGTTTAAAATGATCCTAAAATTAAAGACTTTTGTCAAAAATTTTAAAACAGCTCTTTACATTCAATATATAATAGAGAGTATCATTACATATTCCACTTTTGTAATACTTTTAATGCTTTTGTATTACATACTTTATAATATCTCCACCTTTGGTTTGAGAGTGTTGGAAAATAATACAGATTGTTGTGAGTGAAATTATAAAACAGAAAGTTCAAAGTCTTCCAGGTTTTGTTCTTAAAGTATTCAGCAACCTGGATTAAAGCCTTGAAACAAAATGTCCATTTTTAGAAGTTCATTGTCTACCTGAGAGAAACATTAAAGGACTTTTGGAAAGGCACTTGTAGTATGTAAATACAGTTCTAGGGAAAACCTTTATTCTCCAAAGCCAATGCAACTTTGATTTGGAACTTATTCAAATGTACTCCCGGAAAGTTCTCTGGAAATATCCTGGAACCACTCCACCCTTACAAGTTTCTTCTACAAAGACTGACCTCATCATATGCTTCAGACATGGGTCAGGACTGAACATTTTCTGTTGGGCACGGAAATGTTCTTTTCTGACATCATTTTTCACTCAAAGGTAAAATCTAATTCTTGCATTAAAGTAGCATTTTATTATTAATAAATTTTAAACTAAAATACGTAGAAATATAGTACCTTAAGTCCTTTTTTTTGCAGATCTTGAGCAAGTTCACAGCAAAGTTCTCGGCATAACCTATATTGTTCTTCTGCTTTACTTATCTCACTGAATGTCCTAGAAAGACAAAGACGATTATGTTGCATAAAGTAAGCTATAAATGCGGCTAATTTAGGAATGACAGAGTACACTTAAATGGCCTAGCACTGTTTCTATAGTTATGAAATGAACACCTCAGATCTAACTAAATAATAGAAACTCATTTAGATTGCTAATCTGTTTAGCAAAGGTCCATTCTCTCTTTCCATAGTATTTTTTAAAAAGTTGACTAAGACATTAATAGATAATGTCCCAGACTTAAAATACATTAGGGTGTATGTGCATATAGATTCTGCTGCAGAGGATTATCTCAAGAAAGTACCAATTAGAACATCATTCCAGCTACTTGGACATGTAGATTTGGGGGAAGAGATTTAACTTTACAAGTAGATTTAAGGGGCTGATTCATGCACCTTGTTAGAGTTGTTTGACAGACAACTGAATACTGTCACAGTTTACTTCTGCCTATAAAAAAATGAAGGTTTGGTAAGATTAAATGTAGAAAATTTGAACTCAGTTGTATGGGAGTGCTGACAGAAGTTGAGCAGTTACACTGACTAAGAAGATACTAAAGAGAGATCAGGATAACAAATAAAAATTCCTGAGCACATGACAGGTGAGTGAAAGTTCCTCTATAACTGTATTTCCAACTATCCAGTTTTCTTCCCTTGTCAGGGCCCTTAAAAAAAAATAGTCAGAGAAAGGGAAGATAGTGGATTTGAAAAAGGAGAATGGGCCATAAGCCAACAAATGAAAGCAGCCTCTAGAGGTTTCCAGTAAGGAAACCTTCCTGGTGCCCCCCAAAAGGATTGCAACCTTAACTTTAGGACTCCTGACCCTTGGGACTGTGAGCAAATCAATCTGTGTTGTCTTAAGCCACTAAATCTGTGGCAATTTGTTATACCACCAATAAGAAACTAGGACACCCTCCATGGAGATGTATAGTCTTTTAGAACTTTTGCCAACCTGATTACTGAAAAATGCTATCTAGACAATTTCAATGTTTTTCTCTAACAACAAAGAAAACTGGGGTTATTTTTACGTGTTTTAAGAGTCGTTTGCATTTCCTTTTTGCTAACTAATTACATTGTGTTCTTTTTTTTCTATTGGTTTGCCTGCTATTTCTTATTCAATACCAAGGGACAAAATGAACAAAAATTCATGAAATAGGACAATACTATCTCATGTTTGTACACTTTTGCCCCAATTTCCTTTGATAGACTAAGCAATAATTTTTAATCAAAGCCACTTATTTGAGTGCACTGTCTTATGAAAGTCATTCAGATTTTCTTTTGTGTGTGTGTGTGTGTGTTAGGAAGTGCTTGTTTGCAGGTGTTTATATATATATATCTGTATATATATATTACTACATCATTCAGCGTTTCTTACCACAAATAATACCCATGAAAAAAATGAACACAACCTTGTACTCAGTCAGTGGTTCTTAAATGTCTCAGAGGAACTTTAAGACTTTGAAGAGAAAACTGAAGAATTTCTCAAACAATGATAAATACCTCAAAACAATAAGGTTCCAACAAGATTGTAAACCAATGAACTAGATCATCTCTAAGCTCCCTTTCATCAATATCTAATGAGATAATTCTTACTATCATTCATTACTATAAGAAGAGTTTCCAGAAGAATTTCAATTGTCACTTTTTAAATTTCCCAAATAACTACCCAGTTTCATTTTTTCTTGAAAATAAGGTTATAAACTAAGATATGAAACCTTAAAATGCTTGGTTTTCACTGAATAGGAACGTCAACATCAAAAAAAATATTTTTCCCATTGAGAACACAATAAGTGAAAATAATAAAGCATTATATTGGGATATTTACTTTAGAAGAGTCAACTGCTGAAAAGTATTATTTGATTTACAAATAGATTTAATTCCAGTGATCGCATGCTAAAATTAAAAATTAGTTAAAAATAACATGAAGTATGAGTAATACATTTTTAAAGTTACCTCTCAACACTCATGCTTTTCCTCTCTCCATCCCTTGAAATAAAAAAAAAGTTTTTATTTGCTTTCTCAAGGAAGATTTAGTTTCTTTTAGTTAACTAACATATTAACTATTGTATAAAGATCTTAACAATATTTTGATTAAGTTTTATCAATTATAAATTAAAAAAATAAAACTATCACCAAAGAATGTAGACATAAAAGATGCTACATGTGTTGTGGATCAGTCTATAGTTTTCAAGGAGAACAAATCTGAAAATAGGTAGATATTATAAACTGTTTCTATTAAATGCCTGCCCGAAAATCAAAAGCCACAACTTATAAAAGCCAATAGGAGATGGTAGCATAGTGGCTTGGATTTACAGGATAGAATTAAATTTGAATAACTTAATATCAATTTTCTAGTTTTTAACATAATAAAATAGCTTTGCTTTCATGTATCTTATTAATTATTCGTTAAGACTCTATAGGACTTCAGTTAAAATTTGGTAGATAGCAATAGAACAAGTACTTGAAATAGGAACCATCTTGTTTGGTTAGATACTAGCTGTTAGTATCTTAGCAGTTGCTAGTTTAACCTGGTTAGATACTGGAAGTAACTGAAGCCACTTGAAACAACATGTACATTTCATGTAATAAGTGACCTTATTGTGAAATTAAAAGTTTTTCTAGGCCTTGGGAATATGATGCTAAACAAAAAAGTCCATTTGCCTACCCTGAGAAACATATCACAGTGGAAGAGATTAAGCGATATGGAAGTAAATAAAGGAATGCATTAGAAGTTGAAAAAGACTACAATTTTAAAACTAAAGCAAAGTAGGGGAAGAGAGAATTTGTACAGAAGGAAAGTGAATTTTGCCATTTTATATTGTTATAAATTACCTGTAAATTTTACTTAAAAGTATTACATGCATCTCTGAATACCAAAGGCTCTATCTAATATGTGCTATGTTATATCAAGAACTACATTGTTTTCAAGCACTGGAAATAAGAAGAGGATAATTTTTGCATTAAAGAAAGTTTTATCCCTTATTATATTCAAGTGCTAGGCTATTTACAGTACTGAGAGGTTATCTGTTTCTTATTTTTCATTATGTACTCTCAAAGTCAAAGTGTGGTAACTGTTCTGATGCAAAAGAATGAGGAGCATGAGAGATGGGAACAGCAGCACCACAGGCCTGGCGATCTCTAGGATACTGACTAATTGAATCTATTTTGTATGCCTCCTCACATAAAAATCCTGTTTTCCTTTAGTTTAAAGAGTATAAAGGAGTTATTTTAAGGTCAGGCCGAAAGGATGACAAAATTATAAAAATAGTACTGAGTGTTAATTGACATTATTTAAAAAAAAAATCTTCCCCATCCCCAGCTGTGCACTCTTCTAGCTCTAGGCACACTTTTTTAAAGACCTGGATGAAAGAGTGGGAGGGAAGAAAACATAGGGGCTCTCCTCTAGCTGTTCTCGATTCTCTTAGATCTTCTGGCCCCTGTAGATCTCTGCCTATGAATGGCTGCTACTAAGCTCACTTAGCACAAGTCTCTTTGCCTTTTTGCCTTCACTTGTTGATTTGGTTATTTTCTGTTTTTCACACTGCTCTGTAAACTCCATGAAGGCAGGCCTTGTTTTGTTTATTGCCTATTACCCGTAGTGCCTGAAAGAGGGACTAACACAAAGTCAGTACTCAGTATTAAATGAATGACTCACTTACAAACCTGGAAAAGACAAGAAATATAGTTAGTTCATGAAGGAGCATCAGACTTCCCAATTTAAAGGGTGAATTCTGGAATAGGTATCATCTTTCTTTCCTCAACAATATGACAGTATTCTTTTTTTTTTTTTAAAGATGTATTTATTTACACACCTAGAACTGGGGTATAGGCCAGAGGTGCAGAGGCAGTGAGAGGATTCACCAGAGACAGAGTGGGGAGCAGAACAGGCAGATCAATAAAGTACACTACTGAGGGGAGCAGCGGGCGGGTCAGGAGAGGTCTGCCACACTATGTGGTTCATTTCCACGGCCGGGAATTGAACTAGCACTAAAGTGCCGTGTCCTAACCCACTGCACCACCAGGGAGGGCCTGTATTTTTATGCTCTGAACAAAGGAAAAGCAAATCAGAAAAGAGGACTCATTATTCCTCTTGTAATCTATCCAGATGTAGCCCAAAAACCTGGGAGTGATTCATTATCTTTTCCTTTTCTTCCATATCCAATCTTTTAGCTCTAATTCAAAAATTATATTCTGAATTGAGCTTTCTTAAATTTTAAAACATGTTAATTTTACAGCTTCCTTCTTGGGGGTTAAAACTATTATGTCAGCAAATGATACAGGAGAAGTTACCTTGCCAGGTGTGTTGAACCTAGGCCCAGGGAGATTTGAAGGAAATAACGCCAAGATGTTTCAGAGAAAAGGAGAGAAAGTAATGCTGAATGTTGGTAGAGTTCTGTACAAGTAGTAATTCCAAGGGCCTTTAACATTTTCTCTGTGACTTTTCCTACTCCAGAGACCTAGAAGAAAATAAGTATTTATCAACACATTTTTAAAGTTAAGGTAAAAACGTATTTCATTATACTTTTATAATCACTTAGGTTATGAAAAACCAATAAAGGTATGATTACCTTCACCAGTTGTACAAAAAAGGTTAAAAATTCACAGAATTTAAAAAGCATTTTAAAAAAGAGAGTTGTATGGTCATGTAAACTTGGGAAATGGTGAGGCCAGAAGTGCAGGGGGTGAGATTTACTGGAGACAAAGTGAGGAGCTGAACAGGCAGATTGACAAAGTACACTACTGAGGGAGTAGCTGGCGAGACAGGAGAGGTCTGCCACATCATGTGGGTCACCTCCTTGGCAAGGCATCAAACTTGACAGCTTCATAGTGCTTCCCACTGCGCCATCAGGGAAGGCCCTAAATAAATTTAAATACTCAATATATACTGCTATCTTTTTGACCCACCAACATGAGTAGTTCTAAAATTATTTGGCCCTAGAGTCCTTTTTAATGAACACATGTTTGCATTTTGAAAAATATACTGGATTTTATAGAGAAAGCTGTCATTCTTTTCATTCCTGAGTATCATATTTGCTATTCATTTGAGGTATGTGCTTTTATCATATTTATATATCATTATATTATATTCAGTATATTTATTATATTAAAGTAGCTTCCTTCTATTCCATCTTGTTTAGAAATTTTATCATAAATGATTGTTGAATCTTATTCAATAGTTACTCTGAATCAATTGATATCAAATGATTTTTATGGAGATGATAGATTACATTAATTTCTATGCCTATATTAAACCATCCTTTCACCTTGAGATAAATTCTACTTGATAATGGTGTATAATCCCTGTAATATACTGATTAATTCAATTTGCTAGTATTTTTTTTATTACAAACGTTTATTTTTACATCATTTTGTACATTTTTTTTCCATCTCAATTGTAATCCCCACGGGTTTCCCATCACCAAGTCTCCCATGTGCCATCACCATAATCCCATGCATTTCCCTTCCCCTCCCCCCGTTTTTTATCCCATTCCCCACTCCACCCCCACAAAATGTCTCTGGTATATGGGTGTTCATTATTTTTGTTATTTTCCGCCTGGTCCATTATACTCCTGCTATGAGTGAAACCATCCGGTATTTTTCTTTCTCTTTCTGGCTTATCTCACTAAGCATGATCTTTTCCAGTTCCATCCAAGTTGCTGCAAAAGACATGTGTTTCTCTTTTTTGGTTGCTGAGTAATATTCCATTGTATATATGTACCACATCTTTTTTATCCAGTCATCTACTTTTGGGCATTCAATTTGCTAGTATTTTGTGGAAAAATTTTACATCAATGTTCATCAGGATATTGGTGTATTATTTTTTCTTCTGCTGTGTTTGCAATATTAAGGTAATATTTGGCATCATACAATGTAATAAAGAGGGCTGCTCCTTGTATTTTTTTAAAGATTTATTTATCTATATATACAAGTGCTGGGTGCAGGCCAGAGGTGTGGGGGGTGAGAGGACTCACCAGAGGCAGAGTGGATAGCAGGATCAGTGGATTGACTGAAATACACTGCTGAAGCTAAGAGGTCTGCTGTGCCATCTGGGTCACCTCCCTGACCGGGGATCAGACTTATTCTTCATTGGCTCAGATAGCTTCATAACCCCTTGAGCCATCAGAGGCCCTCCTTCTTATATTTTTAAAAGCAATTTGAGCAAAATAGGCATTGATTCTTCTTTAGAAATTCAATAAAATTTATAAAGCCACCTGGTACTGGGCTTTTGTTTTTTGGAAGATTTTTTTTTCATTACTATTTCAATTTCCATGTTTGTGATTGGTGAACTGGTAAAACCATTATGAGGGGAATCTGTATTTACCTGAAAATTTTAAAATTAAAAACAGAAATACCACCTCTTGGCCACAGAATATGAAACCCATCAACAACAAAAAAATCTCTATGTTCTACAACATCTATTATAGTAATATTTACAATAGCTAGAACACAGAAGCAGCCTAAATCTCCTTTGATAGATGAATGGGTCAAAAATATGTGGTAAATAAATACTGTGGAATACTACATAGTCACAAGAACGGACAAAATGTAGTCATTTTCAAAAAAAAACAGGGAATTTGAAAAAAATTAAATTTAACAAAACAAGTTAGAATGATAATTTGACAATGTAAAACACTTTTAAAAATGACTGAATTTAAACAAACATCCTGAGGACTCTGAGATTAAGACCGGGGGAAGGGGAGGAACAAGGGGCAAAGGGATGTTGATGGGGGAAAAATAAAATGTCATTCAATTATATATATTGAATAGCAATGCTTTATTGCTATACCTTAAATACAATAAGTTATTCATCAATCTTTATATATTAGATACTTTGATACAAGTTTTCTTTAAGCATTGAAATATACATTATTTTAATTCAGTCCTAAAACATCAAATACTGTATAGTGCAATTATTATTTAAAAATAAATATGTGCAAAAAAAAGTCTTTAAAAAAATGATAACTCCCATAACTCCTGAGGGATCATTTTACCACTTTAAAAATGGCAAGATATTATTTTTTTTTTTGTCAAAAACAATTAAAATTCTAAATATCTTTCAAGTACCATGCCTATGAATCTGGTAGCAATCCAGACTTTTGATCTAAGATAGTGTATTATGTTACAACTGAAAGACTCTCACAAATATTTTTTTTTATTTCTCTTCTCCTTGGCAAGGGTACACTTAAAACTCTATTACCTATTATTACTTCAACTTTTTCAGCAAATAAAATGTCTAAGCCTTATTTTTAGGGGCCCATAGAAAGATTTCTTCAACTGCAAATAATTATCTATAATAGCTCTTGATGTTTTAACAAATATTAGTTTCCTCCTAAATAGTATCTCTTCAGAACTCAGACCATAGATAGACAGATGATAAATTTTATAAACAATCTCACCTTTCTAATGGGTAAGTCCTTGATGAAATCCATCACAGCTTGTCTGTTGGGGAGAATTTGGTATTGTCCATTTGGTTTTTTCTTATCACTGCATACTTTTGCTAACATTGTATTTGGGGCAATGCCTTAAAAGAAGAATACTCAGATGACTCAAAGAAGTTGATGTGTATAATTTTTAAATAAATGACTGCAATATGGAAAAAATATTAAGTACAAAATTTCTGAAATGATAGGGATGCTTCTTTAAAAATAAAATTTGATTATTAACGATCCCTCTAAGGCTTGCTGTGGCTTTAGATAAGGGAAACACACTAATAATTGCACAGTAGAAATAACAGTTAATTCCCCATGACACTAAGTAATTTGAGTTTACTTAGTGATCTCATTATTAGTTCACTGTTATTCATAAGGATGTAGTAGTGTCTTATAGGAAAGATCCAGAATATTATTAGGATGTATATTTCCTCTTTGAAAAAGATTTTTGTATAGATTACCCATGTTAAGAAGATAAAAAAGAATTTCAGTTGCAGTATATCTAAATCAATGATAAATAAATGTATGCACCCTTTTTTTGTTAGTCACAAAACAAATCACCATTTTCTGCAAGATGTTTTGTAACCAGGAATCTTTATAATTAAATAACTTGAAATAGGCATATGATTAAGTAGATCATATCAGTTCTTATACACATCTCTACAATTTATTATCTATTTTTTTTTTTTTTGCTTTAGGATAGAGAAAATGACTGACCTAATCATCATGAAGCTTTTATGAGTTAACTTAGGGTCTCATGGTGAACATCAGTTTCTATGCTAAGTCACAGTGACACCCTCATGGTTACTGACATACATGAAACTGTTTTAATCCTTACTAGATGGTTCCAGGTTTCTGAGTTGCCGTTTCTTCTGTCTCCTACCTTGTGGTCATTTTGGCTGTCTCTCCTATCCTGGAGACAGCTGAAATCTTCCAAATCCTATCAAAATATATTTTGTACTTAAAAAGGATGGCTATCTGAGATTTGTTAGATTTTTCTTTGGGTTTATAAACTCGTCTGCTTAATTCCAAGCTACCCATGGTTAACAGCACTCTAATAGGTAACGTTTTAGAAGCTGAATAAAAAAACAGACAAGTGTATGTTTTACTATAAGAAACTATTAATAATACACTTGAATTAGCCGATGTGAATATTATAACCATCAATATCTTTTTTATCCATCAATATATTTTTTAGTACCTGCACTAGCTGTCAGTCTTGTTTTTTGTTCGATTCTGAAACGAATTTCCTTTACCACTTCCTCAGCAGATATTCCAAAAACAACTGAATTCTGGAGTAGCTGAGGGTTATTTTGTTCTTCAAAGATCACTGGGCAGGAATCCTCAGGAGGGGTATCTTCAAAAAGTAGTGGAGAAATGGATCCTTCAATTTCACTCAGTTTATTAATATCCGTTTCTGTTTTATCTAAGTGATAAACAAGAATTGTAATTCACCTTAAGAAATATACTTCATATATTAGGTTTGTCTGCATTCTTTCTAAGGACAAAACAAATCTAGTTTCAGTTTTATTTCTAAGAGCCAAGATAAAAACTTACATCTTGGTAATTCTAATTCCAGGTTTTTCTTAAAAAGAATACATCCATTTTTATAGCATACATCTTAAGAGGAAATATTCTATGTGAAAACAACTTAATTTTGTACACAAGTTAACTGAAACAGAATTGCACTTAGATTCACATTACTTTTTTCTTAAAAAGTAAAAATAAAAACTTTTCCATTATTCATCTCTGGGCGGGAGGGGGGTGGTAGAATTTCTTAGATTTAAGTTTAGGAGTGTAAAGAAGGCATGAAGCAATCTAGAATAATTATGCCTGAAAAGCAAGTTTTGCTTTAAAAGAGAAAAATACTCAAATTTTCTTCATTTAATGGAAGAAAAATTTCAAATGTCAATATCATGTGCCGGTTTTAACTTTGACTTGCTTGTTTATAAAGTAACACTTTACAAAAGGCACATTTGAAATAAAAATTATTTCTGGAAGTTATACTTCTTTAAATAGATACATTATTTCTGGAAGTTATACTTCTTTAAATAGACACATTCTTAAGGTCTGATCAGATTAACTGTGGTCTAACTTTAAGACAAAGAAGTCTTTATTACTATCAACAAACTATAAACTAACATTATATTTTAAAAACAAAGTGAAAATACCAATCTGTTTATTGCCTCATTTTATTTATATCTTTCATACCTCGACTATCAAATACACTAAAATCTATATTGATCCTAAAAATGTAGTCAAACAAATCCATTAAATACTTTTCTCTCTGGGCTTAATGGAAGTTTAAATGTATTTATAACAACTAAGATTAATAACAGAGCTATATCATCCCATTTCATAATTGTATTACATATAAATATTTTTCAAATTAAGATAAATGTAGAAGCAAAATGAACTTAACCTTTTAAGAAAATATTCTCAGCTATTGTAAATAATGACAAACATCTGATTAATTTCAAATTTTGAAGAATGTAGTATGAACAGTTAGAGGGTTTTTAAATCTGAATCCGTAGGCCAGATCAAAATACACCTTATAGTCAAAGTGATATTAGCTGTTATTTATGGGCATCAGTTCTTTTTCCTTCCATATTTTGGTTTTACAATACAGAGCAGGTCAAGGGGATTAAGACTGTAGCACCGTTGATAGGTTATCTACCGGGACCCCTTTTTCTCTACCTGAATGGATAGAGCGAAGATAAAAGAAACTGTAGAAAATCTGCAGAATAAATGAGGTAACAGCCCTGCCTTCTGCAAAAGTCCTTAAGCCACACTGTGTACCAAATGTCTTTAGGTGAGTCACTCTGATGGTAGAACACTCTAATGGAGGCAAAAAAACAACACTGTAGTGCTGCCTTCCGGGTTCATTGTTAGAGTTATTGCTGAATGACATGGTTACCTTTTCAATCTGTCACTTTTTTGTTTTAACATCCTTGTTTATTTTTTTCACAGCATAGGGCTTCTCCCATCAGGTGTGGCCACTATAGTGTACTTTTCGGAAAGCCTGGCTGGGTAACTAACTGCTGAAATTTGCTCTCTGAAAGAAATATCTTTGTAATCCTCATAATTGAGGCCTTCAGAGTTCAAAACTATGTTTTCTTATAATCTTCAGCACCAGGAGAAAAGCATCCCTTCTGGATGGCAAGTGCTTAAAGGTGTATAGTATTTCAGTTTGCTATTAATACATTGGCTGGCGCTCACCATCCAGATCTCTATGGCAGAATAAATACAAGATAATAATAATAGTAATTTTTATTATTGGTAGTTAGCAATACTGTTCCAAAGACTGGACCTTTTTAAAAAGGGAGCAAACAAAATTGCCTTGGACTTTAGGTATCAATCACCTACCATGACTCCAACTCACTTTGACAGCTTCTCATGTATAATGTGGAACAGATATGCCTGAAAGTCCAGTTCACAGGGGTTATATATGCAGGAAAAAAAGTAAAACTATTTAAATTGCTTAAAAATATGAGCTATATGAAGAGGAAAGTACATAAAAGTGTTAAAAGCAATAGATATTAAAAATTACTTCCTTATAGCCTCACTCACATTGACACATCCTCATAATGAGTTTGGACTTATAACAAATGAAAAGAACATTAGTAGAGAATGAAAACATGTACCAGAGTGCCAATATGTGTGCGTTTTAACATACTGTGAAATAGTTACAGGAGGCCTTCAGGGGATTCTCGGATTTTACCTAGAAGGTTCCTCTCCCTTCACAATGAAAATAAAAAGAACTAACAAAATTAAGATTTTAAAATGACATAAGGCATTGTGTGCCACTTCCTCCAATAGTTAGAACAGGCAAAGATAACCTGTCAATCCAACCTTATGCTCATTCATTGTTTAACACGTCTATTGAAAACAGCTGCCCTTTAGGGCTTTAAATACCAATGAAGGACCTCCTTGGTGGTGCAGGGATTAAAGATCAAGCTAGAGCCAGTCACTGTAGCAGCAGGAGTTCATCCTCAGAAGGGAGCTAACCCAGACAGAACAGCAGACCTTTCCTGTATCTCCCACTGCTGCTCTCAGCAGTTGTTTCAGTATACCTTACCTGTTCTGTTCCCAACTCTGTCTCTGGTGAATCCTCCGAGCCCCCACTCCTGGCCTACACCTCAGTTCTTATGTATAAAATAAATAAATCTTTAAAAATATAAATAAATACCAATGAAGTTGTGATTTGATGTTCACATTAAACTTGCTCCATAGATTTGACCACAAACAATATGACTCAGAACTTGATGCTGTTGAGGATCCACCACTTGCTTCAGGGAAAGTCACATATCGATTTCCCAGTACTGCCTGTCCCCACCAAAGCAGTTAATTAGGTTTTCATGTGAACCGTAGCTGTGAGTTATGAGCAAACTCTGTCTCTACCTCCTTTCAAAGTGAACATTGCTAGGGGTCCATGTCAGCTCCAACATTAAGAATAATCATAAAATTGACAGGTAGCTGAGTAAGTGTATTAGTTCTGTGCTACTTGGCCCTGTTTAGGATAGTTAATAAAGGGATCATCTGAAAATCCAGTGAAACTCCTGTTTCATTGAATATAAAAGAATCAAATAAGGTGTACTATAAAGAAGGGTGATGGGAAATTATTCATTTGGCAAGGTTGAAAACAGTCATAATTGCTGTATAGTCAATTATAGAAAACTTCAGAATGAAAGGGAAACAAACCAATATTTTCATGTTCAAGGTTAAGGTTTTTTAAAAAATCTATTTTCTATTGACATCTATACCAAAGTCAACTTAAACAGATAATTGCCTCAAATTCAATGCAATCTAACCCTTTGTTAGGAAAAGATCTGATTTAAATTAGTTTGTACAGGGATTCTGCAATCTCCTAAAGGCTAGAGATTTAAAAACTCTTTTGGTTTGATTCCCCACACTTAACCCAAAAAGCCAGCTAGTATATTGTAAGTTTCTGAGTTTTTATTTTTAATAATTTTCATAGTTTTACCATTTATACAAACTAATGATTTAACAGAGTCAACTCAAAAGTTTTTTGTTTACGTTCCAGTTTTGATTGTTCTATTAAATTGCTTACCATTTTCTAGAGAGTTCCCTGTTGTGATGAAATGTTTTCTTTTGTCCTCTGGCCAACTCTGTCTTTCCTGTAAGTGCTTTGTTATATTCAAGTAGGCTTCATCAAGACTCATGGCCACAAAGTTGGGGTCATACTCAGCAAGTATTTCCTTAACCTTCAAAAGGAAACAAAAAAACAAAATGATTGAAATTTTGCTTCCTCAGCAAAATCTGTCATATACAGCTGATAAGAAACATTAATAATCTTACTTTGCAACTATAGTAATGATGCTGCAATCAATAATCACAGATTTAGGGAATAAATGATTTACTATCAGGCAAATGTGTCCAAATTCTCTTTTATATTAAGATAGACCATAAAGGCAAATGACCATGAAATAATTTCATTTGATACAGCCTCTACTTAGCTACATATACCTAGATATAGTAGGTAAGTAAAATAAGTCTCAAACAGCAGAATTCTGATAGACATAAAAAATGGTTAAGCAACATAATTGAATTGCTTACCATTTTCTAGAGTAGAAAAGTAGAAATAAAAGTGGCAATAATGGATCCTGCTGGTCAAAAGTAGAAGTAAAATTGGCAATAATGGATCCTGCTCCCCATCACCTTTCATGGTGGCTTTGGCTCATTTTAAAAAGAAATAATCTTACATAAAGGTACTATGTAATGGTTGCTATAGAAAAGAGGTTTAATTCAACTATTACTGTATGTACATTAAACCTCACACAAAACCCCACTAGTACATGTGTCTATTAAGGAAAACAATGGTTAATTATTGAGATTTAGAGTAGGGAAAGATGATAAAATCTGTAGTCTAAGTATGTGATTATAAAACATGATGGAGAAAAGTCTGGAGTTCTGTCTTTGGATATAAGAAATACAAATATAGAACAAAATCTCAATGTGATCCCAGAAATTCCTATTTACATAAAATTGTTTTGTTATATAAAACTATGGACTTTTAGCCATAGAATTGTTAACTGAAATTATAAAAAAATTGTTGCTAAAATAGTGTGTATTAGAAAAACTCTAGGTGAACTATATTTCTATTTAAAAGTTGTCTGTTGTATCATGAGAAAACTTTATTTGATTTTATTTTTTAAGATTTATTTATTTATTCACACAGAACTGGGGTACAGGCCAGAGATGCGGAGGGTGAGAGGAGACAGAGACAGAGACCAGAGACAGAGCGGGGAGCAGAACAGCAGAACAGGCAGATCGGCTGAGTACACTGCTGAGGGGAGCAGCGGGCAGGCAAGAGAGGTCTGCCTCGCCATGTGGTCACCCCCGGGGATCGAACTCATGGGGAAGTGGCTTAAGCTTCTTAGTGCCATGCTTTAACCCCCTGCACCACCAGGGTGGGTCCTTTATTTGATGTTTTATAAAAAGAAAGCTTTTTAGCTTAATGTAATTCTGAACAGTTGAGTCAAAGACAATTTTAGAAAATGGTGACAGAAAACTTAGTCACTGTTTACTCAGAGTACCTTTATTAGTTTTGTACATGTAGAAGAAGCCATTTTTACTCAAATGAATGTTTTTCTAGTGAGAATGAAACTCTGTAAAGTCTGTAGTTGGCAGCCAACTGAGATTACTTTGAAAGAGAAGTACTCCCTAAAGACAGATGAGCACTCACTAACTTCCTCTAGTGAGGACACTGCTTTCAAGACAAAACACACACCTTCTAGTAAAAATCAAGCACCCTTGTGGATAAAAAAGTGACTTTTTCTTAAACTTTAAAGCCACGCCATAAATATTAATGCATTCGTGGTCAGTAAATTTGTGCTGTAGTTCATTTACAGCTGAGAACCCATCTGTTCTATGCAAATACTCTAGCTAGTTCTGCTCGAAATTAAAGGTAGGTATTTTTTTCCAGATGAAAATAGACTAAAGGTAACTAACATGATTAATTCTCCTTGTCATACTGAGAAGGACTTTTAAAAAATTCTTTCTTGGGCCTTCCCTGGTGGCACAACCGGTTAAAGCACAGCACTGTGAAGTTACCGCAGCCACTGCAGCTTGAGTTCGATCCCTGGTCAAGGAGGTGACCCACAAGGTGCAGCCGACTTCTCCTGACCAGCCCACTGATGCCTCAGCAGCGTTTTTCAGTACATCTGACTGTTCTGTTCTGGTGAACCCTCTCACCCTCCCCCACCTCTGGCCTATACCTAGTTCTGTATGCATAAATGAATAAATCTTTTTTTTTAAAAATTCTTTCTTACAAAAGACTTTGAAATATTTCACATTTAAAAGGCCATAATAGGCCCTCCCTGGTGGTGCAACGGGTTAGGATGCAGCACTGCAAACTGGCCACAACCGCTTCAGTGAGAGTTTGATCCCCGCCCGGGAGGTGACCACATGGCATGGCAGACCTCTCCTGACCTGCCCACTGTTCCCCTCAGCAGTGTACTTCTTTGATCTGCCTGTTCTGCTCCCCGCTCTCTCTCTGGTGAAGTCTCTCACAGCCCCAGTACCTCTGGCTTGTACCCCAGCTATGTATGAATAAATAAATAAATCTTTAAAAAAAAAAAAGGCCTAATAATTATGACTAGTATTTTATCTCTTTCTAATAATATAGTAAAAGAAATACACAGTAACCAATGTGTATAGTAAAAGAAATACACAGTAACCACAGTAACCCCCTCTCCCTCCTCCCCACCTTTTCAAAGGTAGGCACAAAAGCACTTGCTTCTACAGACTGTTTTGAAAGAAGGAAAACAATTATTTTTTTTAAAAAATTGAAGCAGGGTATTGTTTTTAACTGGGGAGAGTTCATTTCTAGGGGAAATGAACTGGAATACAAATAAGATGTACAAATCTAAATACTATTTGAATGACTACATGGTAATAGGTACTAAGCCATAACTTAAGTGTTTTAATTCAGACAAGTCAATAACAACTGCATTTTATCATGATCTAAAAAGATTTGATGTACCATTCTAAAATTTCAAGTTATGTTTTGAGTTCAAGTACTAGCATTATTCGAGTTCAGTTTTGAGCAAAAAGGCAAAAAATTAATCTTTCATGTGACAATTTAAGCAATTTTAGTGGAAAGTTATCTTTATACTTCAGAGATCCTTTTCAGAGCAATGGATTCTTTCCTTTCTTCCAATTATCAGTTTCTTAGACATTAAGTACTTTAAAGTATCTTCACTAAATTGTATGGAAAGCAACTAATCAAAATTCTTTTGTTAGTATTTAAAAACACTGATAAAAATGAATCAAGAAAAAAAGCTTAAAATGTTAAAATTAATGATTTGAATAGATTCCATAAATGATAAAAATAAGGTGATTCTAGAAAATGTATATTGTATATTAAGAAAAAAATAGCTAAAATTAATTTATATTATAATGAGCCTATTCAAAGTTTTCTAGGGAAATAAGAGTTTTCCTCTTTTTTAAGATTTATTTTTATTTATTTATGCATATAAGAACTGGGATCTAGGCCAGAGATTGGGGGGAGAGGGGAAAAAGATTCACCAGAGGAAGAGTAGGGAGAACTGGCAGATATACTAACATACACTCCTGAGGGGAGCAGCAAGAGAGATAGAAGAGGTCTATTGTGCCATGTGGGTTGGCTCTCTGACTGGGGATTGAACTCATGCTGCAATGGCTGGTGGCTGTTTGACAGTGCTGAGACTTTAACCAGGGAGACCTGATAAGAGAATTCTGAGGAGATAAAACATGTAGGAAAGCAAAGTTTTGGGAAGTAGATAGGTGTAATTCTGGATACCACATGCATTATTATTCAATATTAAGTTGAAGAGTGGCAGGAAGTGACTAAAATGATAAGCTATTAAGGCCAAATTCTAACATGCAAAGACATTTAAACTTGACTATGTAGGTGACAGGAAATCAGTGAAAGACTATTAAGTAAAGGTGAGACATCAGACTTACCTCTCTACTCACAGCTTGGTATTTGTCAAAGTTTGGGGGAACTATAATAAGTTGTGGGCAGAGTCTTTTAGCAATAAACCCTGGCATGGCTGCACGAACACCAAACCTCCTTGCAAGGTAATTTGAGGTAGACTGAAAGAAAATGGACCACATGAGAAAATATTGAAATATAAATGGTCATATAGATCAATATATTCATAAGAAACAAATTACTGATATGTATTTCCAAGGACATTTTTTTTTTCAAGTCATTGTTCAATTCAAGCTTTTATTTCATTCTATTACGATGTTCTGACATAGGATCTTTTCCCACGGCTGTCCCCATATTTATTATGTGAAATCAGGTAATAAGCAAACTATGTCAATAAAAAGGTTCTCTTTCCGGCCCTCCCTGGTGGCACAGCGGGTTAAAGCACAGCACTGAGAAGCTAAAGCCACTTCGCATGAGTTCGATTCCGGCCTGCCCCAGAGGTGACCACATGGTGTGGCAGACCTCTCCTGACCCGCCCGCTGCTCTCCTCAGCAGTGTACTTCCTCAATCTGCCTGTTCTGTTCCCCACCCTGTGTATGATGAAGCCTCTCACAGCCCCTGAGCCTCTGGCCTGTACCCCAGTTCTGTATGCACAAATAAATAAATCTTTAAAAAGAAAAAAAAAAAAAGGTTCTCTTACATTTCCAGAAACTAAATTTCACTGGTTTAAAGGAATATCTGTATATAGACTAAATATATGAAAGTTTGGATGCTAGTGGGTGATGTTATATGAAAGTAATAGTATAGTAACAGTATAATTATAAAGTGATACAGTAGCACAAATACTATAAATGTTACAGAAAAGTAACATATAGGAATTAATAGGATAGTATAAGAGCACAGATTTAAAATCTGCTCTACTAGGTATTTTGGAAATTTTTCATCTAGAACAGGAATCAAGGGTCTACTATATGGTTAACCAAATTAAATAAGTATCCAAAAGGAAGATTATTAACATTTGAGAGAACTTTAAAAATTAAGTTTTTATGGGCCCTCCCTGGTGGCACAGCGGGTTAAAGCATAGCACTGAGAAGCTAAAGCTACTTCTGCATGAGTTCGATTCCCGCCTGCCCCAGAGGAGATCCACATGGCGTGGCAGACCTCTCCTGACCCGCCCGCTGCTCCCCTCAGCAGTGTACTTCGTAGATCTGCCTGTTCTGCTCCCCACTCTGTCTCTGGTGAATCCTCTCACCCTCCACATCTCTGTCCTGTACCCTGGTTCTGTATGAATAAATAAAATCTTTAAAAAAAAATTAAGTTTTATTTCTAAGGCTTGAATATCTTTTCAGGTGAAAATTTCTGGCAAGGAGACAAATATGATATTTAAAAGGGAAGAACATTAGTTACAGACCCTCTTGATGCTATGAGAAAATAATCTATGTCAACAGAGTAGGCCATAGTATCATTTATAAAATTTTTACTGCAAATGGAGTCTTTGTTTGAATTCTCAAGCGAAAATTCAAAGAAATACAAAACAGGATATATCAAATCAAAGAATCATTTCAGAATAATATCAATTTGGCATTAGTGTTCTTCAAATGTCATTTTAAAATCTTAATAGTATTCAAAACTAGTGAGTGTTTGGAACAGTATATGGAACAGTAAATGCATGTATTTAAATATAAATAAGACTAATGGAATTGATATAAAAGCTAGCTCTCTAGTAGAATAGAAACAAAATTTTAAACATGAATTCTTTTAACTTTTAAGCTTGTGGTAGATTGTAAATTCCAGCCACATTATTTTGCAATTCTTCCTACTAAGAGATAGGTTCTAGTTCAGTATGCCAAGTGATTTGCTTTAACCAGGAGAATGTGAGGAAAGGGACATTATTGTGTATCTTGAAGTCTAGCCTTTTAGAAGTATGCAACCTTTATAAATAGTGCTACAGTTAACAAAGGAGTGCAGGTTTAATTTCAAATTAGTGTTTTTGTGTCCGTTGGGTAGATTCCTAGGAATGGAATTGCTGTGTTATATGATAGATGCATTTTCAGTGTTTTGAGGAATCCCACATATCTTCCCAGAGTGTCTGGACTAGTTGATATCACCATTAGCAGTGTATCAGGGCTCCTTTTTCTCCAAACCCTCACCAGCATTTGTTATTTCTAGTTTTGTTTTTTATTTAATATGGGCTATTATCAAAGATTTTAGTAGTGTATCATGTGGTTTTGATAAAAGTGATGTTGAACATTTTTTTATGTGTCTGTCATTCGCATTTCTTCTTTAGAAAAGTATCTTTTTAGTTCTTCGGCCTATTTTTTGATTGGGCTATTTTTAAAAAATATTTACTTATGCATACAAGAGTTGGGGTACAGATCAGTGGTGGGGGGGGAGATGATTCACCAGAGTTAGAGTGGGGAGCAAAACAGGTAAATCTACTGAAATACACTGCTGAGGGGAGCAACAGGTGACACAGGAGAGTTCTGCTGTGCCATATAAGCCAGCTCCTTAGCCAGGATCAACCTTGTTCTATAGTGGCTTGGGTTAGCTTCTATAGTGCTGAACTTGAACCCCTGGACTACCAGGGAGGCCCTTGATTGGGCTATTTTGATTATGGCTTTGTTTTTGGTTGAGTTGTATAAGCTCTTTGTAGATCTTTGCTATTAGTCCCTTTAAATGTATGATGTGCAAATATCTTCTCCCATTCAGTAGGGCATTTCTTCACTTAGGTTGCTGTCTCTCGTGACTACTGAAAAGCAACCAAAATGCCCCCAAAATAGATGAATAGTTTTAAAAGATGTGATATATACAGTGGAATACTACTAGCAATCAAAAAGATAAACTCATTCTGTAGGGATGGAGCTAGAAGGGATTATGCTTAGTGAAATAAGTCAAAAGGAAAAGGATAAATATTAGATGGTTTCATTTATATGTGGAATATACAGAAACCAAACAAATGGCCAGGAATAAGATTAAACTTGCATGCTGACAATAGATCTGAGTTTTCTTTTCCTTTTTCTTCTCAATTATCTTTAACTTAAACATTTAGCTTAGGAAAAATACAATTTGCAACACAAAGACACAATGTCAGTCTAACAGTCACTGGATTTATAACAATGGGAAAGCTTTTAAATATGTGAATTTGTTTTTTTAATCTGTTAAATAGAGATAGAAATGTATGCCTCAGGGATCTTGGAAGGACTCAGTAATTGAACACATACAGCAACCAGAAAAAGACCTCAACAAATGGATAGAATAAAGGCTCCTTCCCACTTCATGAAGCAGTAAGGCTTACTTGAGTATGTTATGAAATTTTCTTTTTGTTGTTTACGTACTTACCAACATACTCTTTGATCCCACTGCAATAGGTTTATCCTTCAATTCTGGATTGTCCCTTATTTCTACAGCTGCATAGAAAGCATCCATGTCAATGTGAACAATGGTATTGTTCAGATCCCGGTTCTGTTCTAACTCCATTGTAAATTTGTCAACCTAAATTTTAAAAAAGTTAACATACTTTTAGGCAATATAATATTGAAACACCTCTCATCATAAAATTAACATTACTTTTAGTAGGCATCTCTGTGCCTGTTTATAATCTAGCTATTCACCTATCACAATCCACCCAACCATTTACTCACCTATTTGATTACTGTTTATTAAGGCCAGTAATTACACAGGTCATCTGCTCCCAAGTATCATTTACTACCGTATCTTTCACCTCCACACCATCAACCACATAACAGGTGACATAATAAACATTTCTGATTGATTCAACTATTCCAATTGCTTTCATCAAACAATTCTACTGTTTTAAAATTTGACGAAATTTTTGTGACTGAAGGTTCCAGTTTAGGTAGAATAAACAACTTCCATCTAACTCACGCTATTAGTGTTTTAAAACAGCAATGAAGGAAATATACAACAAAAGACTATACTTTCTGGCATATGATGTTTATGCTGAATCATACTATACAGCTGGAAGTAACAAAGTATAATGTACAACATTCCTTTTGTAGAATTGCTTTTGAAAGGCTCAAATCTGATAACAGTTTATATAAATCAAAACAGAACAGTTAAGTTATAATTTATTCTTTCACAAAATTTCAACACATATGTAAAATATAACAGGAAAGAATCTCAAATCATTAAAGACTTTTTGTTTCTTTGGAGACAAAGAGTTGGACTGGTAAGGAGAAAAAAAATAAAAGGGGGCAGAAATAGCCAATGTAGCAATAAGAAGAGAGTTTATCACCAGACAAACTCATTTCCAAGAGCTCTTTTTTGTGGCCTCTACAGAAAAAGCTAAATATGCACTTTTCCAGATTTCCCTAGAGCTGAGGGTGACTGTTTTGAAATATGTAACATATAAGGTCAATAAAACCATTAAATGAAAATCATGAGAAAAAGAGAAACAAGCTACTGAATTAGATGGAAAACATAAAAAGCATGGAAGAGTGGTTGGCACATCTGGCAGGCTCAATAAAGGTAATTGATTATGGAAAGGATCAATAAGTAACTGTAAAACAGTCCAAAAGAGAAGAAAAAACAACCAAAAATAAACAAGTGAGGTGAATTGTAGAACAGAAGCAATTTCCATTATGTGGAGATACCTATGCAGATTTTCCCCATTGTTGTATTTCAAACTTCCTTCCATTCTGCTGAATTTTTTTCTTCCTTCTTAGCATTATAGTGACACTAGCTTCAGGTTAAAACTGCAAATCTTTTTTTTTTTTTAAACAAGTACTCTGAATCATATTTGTTTCCAGTAGTCACTAAAAACCTTTCTAGAAAGCTGGCTCCTACTGGCTCTTACTGTTTAGGCTGCAACTCATGAACGACCCAGGGTGTTCTGTGCCTTTGAGCCTGTTCTGTCTAGAATGAGTCCCTCCACCCCACCCAGTTCAGTCACAGCGCTTTCAAAGATTAGCTCTGCTATGTTTCTGTGACTTAATTGTATCTCTGTCTTCTGTACCACAGAATTTAATGTTCCTTTATTTGTTTTCCTGTGGCACTTATTTCATTAAATACTAAATTGTGAATTCCATCAGGAAAAAGACCTACTCTGCTATTTAAATTCAGTCCTCATAAGAAGAGGAGGGGTGATGTGAAGAAGAAAAGAAACAAAATTTACACATGCACACACACACACACACAATTTTTTTCTTGGTTATAAAAAAGACAATAGTATTTGTAAAAAACTAAAATAAAATAAAAAGACCAAACACATGGAAAAGGCTGATCTCCTGCAAAGAGACACCACAATAAATGAACAAGTGAAAGTTTGGAACATTAGTTCAATTTATCGAGCAGATTTAAAACAATTTCTTCCATTACCTTAATATTAAACTAGAAGATAGTATTCTGACATTAAAAAGATGTAAACAAATCATAGAGACTATCAAACAAAAGGGTAGATTAAAAAACTACTCTATGTTAACACAGAAAATATGCCTAAGTCATGAGTCAATTGAGAATAAGGGAGCAGCAGCTGAAATATCTCAACCCTGACTCATTGGAAAAGAAAAGGATAATAAATAGAAAGCAAACCAAATGGGAAGATACTCCTTGAATTCATATATTAATGCCATGACAGTTTTTCCAGCAATCTATTATTGTCTTTTCTGTGCTTAAAGCAAAAGAACTGTTGCCAAAAGGAAACCTCCCCACTCAATGACTCATACATTCCACTTTCCTTTACTATCTCTCATTAGTCACCCTGTCTCAATCCTTCTACATCTACCAAATGCACACCATCATTGCTTTCTTCAAGTTTTCCAACTGAGATCCTCATTCAATTTTTCCTTTCTCCCACTTCCCCTACTAAGTGACTGCTGCATCAAATTCTGCTGCATCTCTAACACGGACATTACCCCTTTCACTATTGTTCAGAACCACTGGGTGTTACAGCAGTGTAAGAAGGGCTTTTGTGTGGACTCAGGCTCTGCCACTTATTACTTAGAAGACAGTGGGCAGGTTAACCTTTCTCACCCTTACTTTCCTTCTTGTAAAGGGAGACTAAATGAATCTCAAAGGTTGAAAGAACTAAAAGTGACACACATGTAATGTACTTATCCTGGGACATGGTAAGAGATCAATGATTTTATACTTCCAGAAGCAGAGTTTTAATTCATTTATCATTTAAGAGTCAAAATAATTCTGAGATAATTATGATTCCTATTTCAGAGGAGGAAATGAATGCTGAGTAAGATCAAGCTTGTGTTCTAAGTCATATAGTTGGTATATGTTAAAATACTCCAAACCTTGTGCTCTTTCTACTGTTTTATGAAATCCCCTAAGAAAGATTTTTTAAGTTTTTTTTTTTTTAAATAGAATTCTGTTAATTTTTTTTTAATTTATTTTTCATGCATACAGAAGTGGTATACAGGCCAGAGGTATACAGGGGTGGTGAGAAGATTCACCAGATTCAGAATGGGGAACAGAACAGGTAGATAGACAAAGTACACTGCTGGGGGAGCAGCAGGAGAGACAGGAGAGGCCTGCTGCACCATGTGGGTCTTCTCCAGGGCTGGGGATCGAACTTGCACAGAAGTGGCTGCAGCTAGCTTGCAGTGCTGTATCCTAACCCATTGTGCCACCAAGCAGGACTTTTATTTAAACTTTTTAACACTGAAGTAAGCTCAGACCAAACTCTGGTGGTATATATTATATCCAAATGATTTATTTACTTAATAAAAAACTTTTGATTAGACTTACCAGTCTTTCAGAAATATTGTTTTTCATTTTCTTGACTAAGTATTACCCAAAAAATGTTGAGTATATTTGAATTTATAAAATGATTAAAATGCACTGATTTGCTGTATAGTTACAATGTAATATAACATGTATGTTCGACTATAATTTATGAATGCAGATTGTAATATGTTTGAGCTTCTACAAAAATAACTGTCTTTAAGAATGGGATGGGATATGGAAGGGCATAAACCTATGGTAACAGTTATGGCTTATATTATCACTCACAATTAAATCTACTACTTGGAAATCTTAGAACCCTAAAATAGAAACACATTTCCCATGAAAACCTCCCTGTTCTCTCAGACCTTCTTGACTCCTTAGAACTTCCTCAAGCTCCTCCCACTTACAACTTCTTTTAAAGGAAGCTCAACAAATCAAACAATCTAACAATCAACACAAAACACATTTCCTGCCATTCCCCTTGCAAAGGATGCCAGAGAGCCTTCCAAGTAAATAGTCAACTGAAACTGCACTCCAAAGTTCTGCTACACACTGTAAGGTATTTTATATTCCTTCAGATTATTAGAATAATTAAGAATATGAGCTTTAAAAAAAGTATAAACAGCAAAGAATTATACTGCATTACTCATGTGTGCTTTATCTTTAAAGCTTTATGAAAGGGATCCAGAAAGCAAATTACCTAAAAATTAATATCAATTTAAAAACAATGTGATTGTGAAAAGATGGAAATTCTTTTTAACTTGATAAAATGATATTTTAAATTTATGTGAAAGTAACAATGCATGAAAAAAAATTTTAAGAGTAGTGACAGAAGATATGTTACATAATATTATCATTTAAAAATGCTATTAAAAATGCATGGTACTGATACAGGAAAAGATTAAATCGATTAGAAAAGAGAGCCCAGAAACTCAATTACAATAAGAATTTGGTATATGGGAGTGCCTCATTTTCAATTTATTGGAAAAAGGATTCATGATTCAATAAATGGTGTTGGGAAAAGTAATCATCATTCAGGAAACTAATACGGGCCCTCCTTAGTGGCACAGCATGTTAACACACAGCACTAAGAAGCTAAAGCCACTTGTGCATGAGTTCGATCCCCTCCCAGGAGGTGACCCACATGGCGTGGCAGACCTCTCCTGACCCGTCCACTGCTCCCCTCAGCAGCATACTTTGTCGATCTGCCTGTTCTGCTCCCCACTCTGTCTCCAGTGAATCCTCTCATTGCCCCTGCACCTCTGGCCTGCACCTCGGTTCTATATGCATAAATAAATAAATCTTAAAAAAAAAAAAGAAAGAAAAGAAAACTAATACATTTTAGGTAAAATATAATACTCATAATTGAAGGGGAAAAAACACTTTACATTTTACACATCAAAACAAATTCCAAATGGACTAAAGTTCTGAATATAACAAATACATTTACTAAGAAGATAGAAGCTTATTTGTGAGGAATAACTCTATACCATACCAAAGTCAAGAAAAAAACTTAATCACATAAATATTTAAAGTTGTATAGGGGGAAATGACTGAAAAATTAAAAGACAAACAGAACACCAAAGAAATATTTAAAACAATGTGCAGAGAAAAAAGTACATTATATATAAGATCTATAAATCAAGAGAAAAAGATACAAAGTCATCTAACAATATGGGCAGAGGATACTGTTTTGGACTGCTCATTGAACACCAATTCCAGTCTCTTTTTACCATAGAAACAGATTTTTAGCTGCACACAGGGCCAGATAATGTATTTTATAGTTTCTCTTGCAAATAGGTGTTGCCATGAAACTTTAAATTCTTGTCAAAAGAATGTGAAGAATGTGTGTACAATATACACACAACTTTTTTTCCACACCTGTTTATTAGCAAATTATTTGGGCTTGGTTTTTCCTTCATTCTTTCTTCCTCACCAAGGGCTGAAGTATGGATAGGAAGGTAATCCAGTTTTGTCAAGTCAGGTAAGGATGACACTAGGGGATGATGGACTAACACCATGTAGGCCATGATCTTTAAATTACTATGGTGATCAGCTTATTATGTGGAAAAAAGATCTCATTTAAACTATTAAATCTTGTGTCAATTACTTAGTCTATATCCTAAGGGAATAAAGAGAAAATTTCCATAAAAATAGTCAACTAATATATGAAAGGATGTTCTTTCTCTGTCATAATCAAGATTATGATTATTTGTCATAATCAAAAGTCAAATTCAAACAACCACGAAATATTTTAGCAGCTGCTATCAGCAAAAACTTGAAAGGCTGATTAGAAAGATAAAATCTAGTTTTAAAGAAATATGTGAGGAACCAACATATATAAAAATTGTAAAATGGGGCTCTCTCTGGTGGCACAGCAGGTTAAAGCATAGCACTATGAAGCTAAAGCCACTTCCGTGTGAGTTCAATCCCTGCCTGCCCCGGAGGTGACCCACATGGTACGGCAGACCTCTCCTGACCCGCTGCTCCCCTCAGCAGTGTACTTAGTCGATCTGCCTATTCTGCTCCCCACTCTGTCTCTGGTGAATCCTCTCACTGCCCCTGCACCTCTGACCTGCACCCCAGTTCTGCAGTGTACTTCGTTGATCTGCCTATTCTGCTCCCCACTCTGTCTCTGGTGAATCCTCTCACTGCCCTTGCACCTCTGGCCTGTACCCCAGTTCTGTATGCACAAATAAATAAATCTTTAAAAAAAAAAGTTGCAAAATGGTACATATAATCTCCAGTGAAAGTAACAGGACACGAGTGTAAAGATGTGTCACAGGAATTCAGAACAAGCTTCCCCCGAGTGTACACTTTGGCATGTGCATTATTTTAAACTGAAGACATTTAAGATTCAGCAGGCAAGAAAAACTTTTTCCTCTCAGCTATTTAACAGAATTTAGACAGAGGACCTATATCGAGATGCACTAAAGCCAGTGATAACTACAGAGAATATGACCTATAACAAAAACTATGTGGTAGAAAGAGAAATTTAGCAAGGAACTTGTTAAGCCTGTTTGCTTAAAGTCCTGTGTCCCTTTCTCTTTGTTTACCAGACATTTGTTCTTCCTGTAAATGTCTTCTACCCCACCCTGAACATCCAGAGTCCCACGTTCTCCTCTCTAGCTAAGATGGCATAAGACTTCCAACTGCCTGACTGTTGAGGAGTGTGTGGGGGTCCCACATACACAAAATTAAGTTTGCTTTTCTCCTTCTAATCTGTCCATTTCAGTAGGGGGTAGCTCCGTCAAAAACTTAAAATCGATAGAGGCAAGAAATTATTTTCTCCCCTACAAATGAATAAAAATGATCATTATAAGGTTGTATTTAAAACAAAATATGGAAGCCAAATTTTGGAAGCTACACAATGGAATGCTATGACGCATTAAAATTGTGATTTTACAGAGAAACCATCTTTTGTCATGACTGCAGACAACACAGAAAATAACTAACTTGTGTTTTGGGAAAGCATATATGAAAATAACAATGCATTACAGTGTAGTAAAGAAAACATTAAATCTATGATCCCTGAATTTATCACAAGAGGAATTTTATAGTATATTCGATTATTACTATGATTTTACAGTAATGCTAAGCATAAAGTGCTTTGCTAAACTGAATCAGATTTTGATAAAAGGTAAAACTAACTTTGAAAGTAAACTTCAGTTTTACCACGAGAACCCTGACTGCTTTGAGTTCTCAAAGCACATGTTGCTTTGTAGCTTGGCTCTTTTACTTTTCCTTTGAAATAACTTCTAGTACCAGAGAAAACTCTTGAGTATTTAATTCCCAAATATACCAGAAAGTCAAAGTCCCCACACTTTTAGAAGTACTGTATTTCATCTAAAAAATTCATGCATGTTTGGCATTTTACCTTATTTATTACTTTGTTTTACTGTAACTTAATTATATTACTTACCAATTTAATTAGTTAACATATTCCTCATATCTTTTTTGCACAATCAGTATAGCTGAAAACATGCCACATTTATCCTGGGTGGTCTTTTCAAAGTGTAAAGTATGTGTAAAGTATGTATAAAGTATGTATACGTCCTGTGTAATAGAGGGGTCTATCTGTGGAGTCTTTATTATAAGAGATCAGTGTTTAAAAAGTAATGTACTTTTTTTTTTTAATGCTTTGTAATATATCAAACGTTTGCATTTCTCTGTGTTTGCTGGTATGATTTGCCCAGGGAGCATTTTTACAGTCAATTACTATTGTACCAAATTCTGCTTCATTTAGCACTGAATGGATACCTGTAATTGTGCTTTCCTTAGTTGCTGGCTGGTAATTTGAGCTTTTTGTTGCATCATGTTTTCAATTCGTTGGTTGACTAGCTTATCTTTCTTGAGTTCATTTCCATAAAATCTGGACCCCTAGGAAAACAAAACGTAAGTGTATACCCCAAATGCCGAGAGCACATACTTTGGAGTCAGAATGACTAAATTCAAAACTTACTTTCATTACTGTTGATATGAGTGACCCTAAAATTACTTAATCTCAAGTGTCTTATCTATAAAATGATCATATTTATCTAAATCACAGACCCACACTGTATGCCAGCACTCAGCATAGTACAAACGCTATACAACAAGTACAGACCTGTACTCAGACAATAACAAGCGAGGTAGGACTCACGGCACATATCCAAAATCTTAGTCATCTGGGTTGTTAGTTATCTTCTTCACTTTACTTAAAAAGTAACTTTGAAAAATTAATATAAATCATAAAGAAAATGGAGAAAGTAAAGTGCACTTTTAGTAAAGTGCTCATCATCCCCTCATTGAAAATAATACCTACCCATCCATCCAGTTGATAGACATTGAATATTTTTATTTTTGGTTATTATGAAAAATGTTGTAGTTAACTTTCATGTACATGTTTTTATGTGGGCATATGTTTCCATTTTCCTTGGTCATGTAGCTTGGAATAGAATCTCTATCATATGGTAACTCCATCAAAATTTTTTGAGGAACTGCCAGACTGTTTTCCAAAGTGGCTGAACCATTTTATCATCTCTCAAGCAAATGTATAAAGGTTCTAATCTTTCCACTGCCTCGTGGACATTTGTTATTGCCTATCTTATTTATTATAGCCATTCTTGCTTATAATTGTATGAGAGTCATTTCATGATGGTTTTAATATGCAATTTTCCCAATGATAAATGATGTTGAAAACCTTTTCATGGGCTCAAAAGCCATTCTTGTGAAATATCTACTTTTATCTTTTGCCCAGTTTTTTGATTGGGTTATTTGTCTTATAAATGAGTTATAAGAATTCTTGATATACTCGGCTAAGTGTTCTTGCTAACACTTTGCTCGGAATGTTACTTTTTACTTAATGGTATCTTTTGAAGCACAAATATTTTGAAATTTGATGAGTTCTGATTAGTCAACTTTTTCTTTTATTGCTATTGGTAACATATCAAAAAAAATTCTGACTAACCATAGATCTGAAAGATTTTCTCTTACCTTCTAAAAGTTTTATTGCTTTGACTCTTAAGTTTTTCGTGTATGATGTGAGGTGAGTCTAAATTCCTCTTTTTTTGCTTGTAACTTAACAATATTACAAATTAAACATTAACATTTATAACAAAGATTTAAAACATATTTTTTAAACAGAAAAATTTTAAATTGTTATACTAATAAAAATGGAAAGAAATAGGAAACATACCTTTGTGGCTTCCATTATAATTTTGTTAATTCTTTCTTTATCTAATCCTTCCATTCCAGCTTTATTATCATTAAGTCCCACCCTAAGCAGAAGGTCATCTTTGTCATTCTTCTCATTTGCACCATCCATGGTATAAACTTGTTAAATTGGTGTTTTCTTGTTACCTGAAAAAGAATAAAAAATAAAGACTACTTTCCAAAGCATTCATGTGGGGAGGCAGACACTTTTAAAATGATATAGAACTCAGCAAAACAAGTAAAAACGATTGCTAAGAATTTTCAGCTATTTAGAAATATTAGTACTCAGATTTTAAAATTTCTATTTCAGGATGACTATACTCTTAAAAGGGAAAAAGGAGCGAATATTTCCTGCAAGCCATGCAACCTAGCCACTATGCTTGGTGCTTTAATTTTGAACACAGACAGCAGCTCTAGAAGATAAATATATTATCTTTAATATAACAAGAAAAGAAACTGGAGACTTAGAGCATGTCTACTTACACATATGCGAGTAGCATATACATGAGTAGCATATACATGACAACTGGGACACCCAGTTTCTAAGTCCAAAGTCCCTATTTTCCCCATATTAATATTCTAAGATACAAAATGATACTTTCCTTTTGAAACAAATTCAATAGCACTACTATTTTATGAGGAACCCCATTCTTAAGGCAGTAAAAAAACCAGAAATCTATTCATTTCCAGATAATCATTAAATTTTACAGTATTGCATCAGTTCTAAGGTTAAGAAAAATCCTTTCAACCAGTTCTTTATAATTTACCTTCACATACATTAATTAAAAAAATATTTATGGCCCTCCCTGGTGGCGCAGTGGGTTAAAGCACTGCACTGAGAAACTAAAGCCACTTCCGCATGAGTTCGATCCCCGCCTGCCCCGGAGGTGACCACATGGCGTGGCAGACCTCTCCTGACCCGCCCGCTGCTCCCCTTAGCAGTGTACTTCGGCCATCTGCCTGTTCTGTGCCCCACTCTGTCTCTGGTGAATCCTCTCACCCTCCGCATCTCTGGCCTGTACCCCAGTTCTGTATGAATAAATAAATCTTTAAAAAAAAATATTTATAAGTCATGCAAAATAGATTTGGTTCTTCTCATGTTAGAAAGATTGGAATTCCAGGAAAGTCAAATGAAATACCCACTATAACTGCCAGTAGCAGAACTGGAATTTGAAACCAAGGCTTTTTACTCCAACTTTAATGCAGATACCACCTCAAGTGCTAGGTAAGTCAATGACCAGGTGAGTGAATCTACAATAACAGTGATTTTTTAATTTGCAGGAGAACAGGCTCATTTACTCTGCCTTTGGAAGTACTCCTGTCTTTCCTAGTTAAACACACAGTTACATCTTTTTAATATGAGGAGAACTTTTAAGATATTTTTTAAAATATACAGTATTAAGTATAGTGACCATCCTATACTTTAGAGCCCCATAGTTTTGTTATTTTATTTGTTTACCATCTTTGCCCACTGTATCTATGAGTTTGGTTTGGAGTTTTTTTCCCCTAAGGTTTCACATATGTCGAGGTCACACAGTATTTGCCTTTCTCTTCCTGACTTATTTCATTAGCCCTCAAGAGGATCTATTCTTAAAGCTGCTTCCATTTTCACACCAGCAAAGAAGCAAAAAAATTGTGGAAGAGAATTTGTTTGACTACTATGATTGTTAGGGGTAACCCTTTTAGAAAAATAAAGCATAAATCACCGTATTCTCAAATTTCATAAGGACCATCTGGAGAGATGTTTTTAATTCTTGAAACCCAGATTGTATCTCATACCAAATAAATCAGGTCAGAGAGAAGCAGCCAGATGGTACTTTTTAGAAATGTCCAGGTAATTCCAATGTGCCCGAAAGTACAGGAACCAATGATCATGTTGTTTCTCAGTGCCCAAGGGAATATAATTTTTCTCATTTGATTTTCTGTCCAGTTATCACATTCAACCTAATAGTGCACTAGATTTTGACTTAGGCTTTAGTAATTCAATTTTCATAGTCAAGTGTACCAGGTGAATGTCCCTGCATCAATTACTGAATAATGCAGAGACTAAAGGCAGACGTCCTACATTTATTTGAGTTGCCTTTTCCTTTAAATGATGAAATGTATAGAAACAAAAATAAATTTTATTTAATCCTTACTACTTCACATATGCTTTATTCTTAGCCCCAGAACTCTGCCAATTGGTTTGGTTCTTTAAGTGGTTTAGAAGCAAAATTGCCAAAGTTAATTTCCAGTTATCTGATGATGTGCAGTTACCAGACAATTTATATCCATTTTCATGGGATTATGTTTACTATCATCAACACGCCAGTGACTTCCAAGTTTACAGTTCCATCTAGTCTAAATGCCTGCCTGACATCCCAAATTAAACACATCCAAAATTGATCTCATCTGCCTCTACCCACAAACTAGCTCCAGTTGTAACCTTCCTCATCTCAGTTGAGGGAAATTTTAACCCCTTCCAATTACTCATGCAAACAACCTTGCATATATAACCTTGCATAATAACCCATATCCAAACTGTCAGGCAATCCATTGAGCTCTGCTTTCAAGATACCCTTAATTCAACCTCTTCTTCCTATCTTTACTGATTTCACTCTAGCCTGACCCTACATTATCTCTTGCCTGGATTATTCTAATACCCTCTTCAAGTTTCTGTTTCTGCCCTTACCCTCTTATGGTAAATTATTAACAGAGTAGTCCAGATGATTCTTTTTAAACCACAAGTTAGGTCTAATCACTCTCTGCTGCATACTATACAATGGCACCCACTTCACTCCAGAATAAAACCCAAAGCCCTTTCACTTCCTGAATCTGTTACATGCTCACTCTCATACTGTCTGATACTCCTATCCCTCTGTCACACTGGTCTCTGGGGTTCCTCAAGACTTCTAGGCACACTCTAATCTTTGAAATGGCAGTTCCTTTCTCCTGGAGGTTTCTTGTCTAAACACTTTTTCCCCTTTCAAGTCTTTCCTTAAAGGTCACTTTCCCTAAGAAGCCTGCCCTGAATTCCCAGCAGCCTGATTACCCCTCTTGCCTCTTTTCCCAAGTCCCATTGTTTTCATACCCCTTATCTTTTCCCAACATAACACTTACGCTTATTGTCTATTTTCCTCAATGAACATGTAAGCTCCATGAGGACAGAGAACATATTTTATCCACTGCTACATCCCAAATGCCTCAAACTGTGCTTGCCAGAGTAGCTGTTCAAATAAATATTTGCTGAGTGACTAGACAAACTCAGTTTACGTTGTTTTCTCATTTTTTTATTCATGGTCACGTCATTAAACCATTAGAAGAGAAACACTTTTTCTGAAAATAATGTAAAAATACTTGAGATTTTTTTCTTACTTCAACAGTAAATCTATAAAGACAAGGATATGAACTAAACAACCTCTGACTTTATGACCTTATTTTCCCCAAGACATTTATGGCTAAGTTGGTTAAATTAAAATTGCAAGAATTTACATTAGAATAAAGCTATTTTGAATTTACCTTACTAGGATTTGTACTAAGAGCCATTAATATTCAAAGAATTCTACCTTATATTTATTCCCTGGGGAATTTAGTTGCTTTGTTAAATTTAATTTTTTTGATCAAATACTTTTCAATTATATCTAGAGTTAAGAAGAAATATTGATGTAATAAACAACATACTAAGTTTTAGTATATATGGGCCCCTATGAGTTCCTTTTAATACTATTATCTATGTTACTATGGTGACTGCTTTTGTTTTTATTGGTAAATATTTCAAATTTCTAAGATCTCTTGACTAGTTACCTGTTCTTCCCATTTGTTCTCACTGAACTTCTCTATCTAGAAGTTGATAAAATTGAAAGGGTGAATTCCTAGCAGAGATTATTCACATCACATATTATCATAAAGTATGATGATTTTCCATTTTTTTCTGGGAAGTGAGATGTAATAATACATCAAATGGTTTTGTGACTGCAACATATAGTGTCTGGCCCATGATAAATTCTCAATCAATAATAATAATAGTAGTATTGCTTAAGCCAAATTTCCAGAATTGTATAAATCATTAGTCTCTCTTTAAGGTAAGAGACTAAAAGGGTACAGGGCACACTGTAAGCTTCCTCAAGAAAAAGCCAAAATTCAGGAATCACATATATGAATTTTGTTTGCCTCCAAAGAAGTATTTGATCTATGATTACTATATACTATCTTATGCAAAGTCACAATATGAATGTATATAACCATGACCTTATAAACAAAAGTTTTCTTGAAAAAGAAAGCTGTCACACATCTTTCTAACTTGGTATTACAGAATAGTCTGTTTCACTTCAACTCAGAAGCACAAACATTACTGCATACTCAAAGGAAAGAACTCTGGGTTCTTGTGGTTTAGCATATTGGTTTAAAAACACATTTTCTCTGAAAATATTCAAATTCTTCCCAGTCTGATTTTACCACTGACTATGCAGGTTACCACTTCAGAAATATAAGGCTAGTCTCTGTTTTTCATGGTTGTAAGGATGAAAAATTAGAATTTTTAGAAGGAATTCTAAGGAAGAAGTTTTAGTGCAGTTGAGGTCTTCCTGCCTATTTAAAAAAAAAAAACACTATGTAAACAATATCATAAGTGTTTAGCATATTAACTAAAGTTACCTGGAATTAGCCTACAAAAAATATGCAAAGCATATTAGAAGTAATAAGAAATAGAGGGAATAGAGAGGAAAGAGAAGAAAGAAGAGGAAGAGGAGGGAAAAACTAGACTAGTAGTTCCTAGGTGGAATTCTTCTCCTATTTCTATATTCATATATTATAAGTAAACCCACTAAAGAAAACCTTTAAGTCTTAAGAACAAAATATCTTTTTTAAATCCCCCAAATGTTAAAATATTTAATATGGTCAAACAGATTAAGTACCCAGAATAAAACTGAACATGATTAAATGTTCTTTTTACTATCTGATTTAAATTAAATAAAAAATTAAAATATAGTACTCTAAATTTAAAGCCATAATTTTCAACTACTGCCTGACTTAAAACTTTCCTTTTGCAGTTTACTGTAAAAATATTTTTTAAATTCTAAAATATAAAACACACAACCTAAGATTTTAAAAGGTCACAGTATAGTTCCCCTATCATAGGAATTCAATTCCTAGACCCCCAGTGGAATCCT